CGGTCCCAAAAGATGCGAGCTTTTCCAACTCCTTTTTTCATCGCTGCGTTAAATTACTCAAAATGCTTCCAGGTAATTTCTTCGGAAAAAATACAAGTTTAAAATCGATATTAAGGGATCCAGCCTTGCAACAAATCTTGTCTCTATGATTCGAGTGGCAATGTGAAGAACGAAGCTCATTAATCCGATGATCTCATTTAGCACACTATGCTTCATACACAACTCATAGTTTTGATATCGGGTGTTAAGTGGTAATGAAGCTTCTGTCTGAGCAGCTCAGCTTCTGGACACCGCCTCGCCACTTCCCGATCGCTACAATGCGATTGCCATCTTTTTACAACTAACTCTAGTGGATTGAGGTGCGAGTGATTTCCTGAGTGTTATTTGTCGGGCTCATTCTGGATGTCGGAGCCACCAATGGCACCCTTGCTAAAATGAGATTTGATGATGTGTATGAATTTTTGTAGTGTGTCTGAATTATATTTCCTATTATTTTCTCGTGTCACATCCTTGTGATGTATTATTAAATAAACAAATAAATAAACGATTCCAAACCTAGCCTGAATTCTTCAAGTGTTACTTCAGATAATATAGAATTTCCAAAGCAACAAAAAGACTGGCAGACGCCAGCGCGTTATACATAGTAAGAATAGCAAGCGTCGTTGTGCTCTCGAGAACTTTGATGAGAGATCATCCTCGGCATTGAGCTTTTTCAGGTTAGTATTGTAAAATTCTGTAGGTGAGCTGAATTAAATTGCAGTCTTCATGACAGGGTCAAAACCAATTCTACTGGAAGGGTAAAAGATTAGCTGAAAGGATGAAACGTAAAAACCAGGGTTCGCACTTTCTCCTTTTTTTTGCTCAAGTGTATGCTCATATTGGCTTATATTGAGGGGAAAGAAAAGAGTATCACGATCAAATATACGAAAAAAACAAGTAGATTATCTTACAATTCTTGAGTTTGTATTCGACGGCAAATTTCAGGTTTAAGGCTTCCACTAGTGATGTCTCATGTAACTTCATAGTGTTTCCAACAGAGCGTAAATCCATGCCTTCAGTGACCATACCGACGTTGAGCTCTGCAATGAAAGTTCCATGGAAGATGACTTCTCGCTGTGCATCCTTCTGCCTACATTGATTGATATGTGGAAGGGAACGTGCAATGAAGCCAAGGGTGCGTCTTAAACCTACACAGCTAGTATACCTCTCTTCAACCTCTTCAGCTAACTCTGAATAATGACCTCACCGGGATTCCGTTTCAACGTGTGCTTGACGGTGTTCCTATTCGTAGTAATCTCCTTAGCTTGGCATTCTTGAGTATTAGTATATTTTTCTTACTCTTCATTTAGAGTCTTTAGATCAATTGTCCATGTACGACTCTCTATAAATCTCAGCATGTTTTTTTACAGTTTTGAGGTTTTCTTTTGAGCTGTTAAACCGAGATTGCAACAATGTTTATTAGGCTGACGTTTCGGTGCCTTCACCTTCTTCGGAGCCTGGAAAGACAAAAGCCACTTGAAACCCCCTTCCGATCAAGAACTATCAACCTACAGAGAAAGTTCAAAGGGCGTGGACTAGTAGAATGTCGGAAGTTATTAACTAACCTGTGGGATAGCCGACCTTTGTGGTCCACCAATCACCCCAATCTGGTAGGACTGCGGTTT